TTCCCTTGTTTGATTAGAGACATACATTGCACATGCATGTAAGGGAATTCTTCATAAATTGGACACAATCCAATTCTTCATGTCAATTAGTCACAAATTTTCCTTATACACTGTCATCACTGTCAGCTCAAGTTAAATGACTCGTAACATTCACTGGTTCACTCTTATTTATCAAACCTTGTAGGGCTGGTCACCTCCATACTTGTTAGTTACTGTACCCAGTGTCTTCATCAGTATTACTTCAGGTCATCCAAATGTCTGTTGTTGAAGGTCCCCAGGACCAATTTGTTTGTCACTGCCTCAAATGACTGATCTACTGCAGAAATGTCACTGCGTTCGTTTCTGTCTCTGCTTTTCAAAGTCACTGGAAAACCTTTAGTTTTATTGCTTAGTGGTGTTGTTTTATTTTGCCTGATTTAATTTATTTTTATGAGTTTGTATTATTGTCTGTTTTTAATGATTATTTCATTTGCTTGTTATTGTTTATGGTGCTTTATGTTTTAGTATTGTTCCCCCACTTTTCCTTTACCCTTTCAAGTGCCTTCTGGCAAGGCCGACACCGTAAATAAGAAACTGATCTTCATGTCCCCCATAATAAAATAGATGGTAAATAAAATAAAATAAAATACAAATATGGATGTCCTTGAAGTTAGGTCTCTGGTCCAAACTCAAGCAGATACATTTACTTCAGTGACAAACATTGACACAGTAACAGCTGAAAAAACTACAGATCTTCTCACATTTAACTTAGTGGAAAAATATTCTGATGGACCAGAGCGCCCTCTACTGGAGACTGTTCAAACTAATCAAAACACCATGACTTGGATTTAAAGCAGGTCTTGACAAACCGTGTTTATTAGAGTTTAGATTTAACATTAAAAACTATTTGAAATAAGAATTTGTAAGAGTGCAATTGGAATACAGATGAGTGTTGCTGCTGAATACAACACCTCAGACTGAAAAAGTATTTCGGATGAAAGACGAAACGTTTCTACTTTTTTTGTTTTGTCTTGTTTTTGGTCTTGGTCTTGACCAGACTTAACTTTTCTAAAATTTTCTACCTGGATTACTGAGCATGCATCAGGATGTTACTGCTATGTTTTACTGGTACTTTAAAATGACAACAAACAAACAAACAGTGAACCAAACTCAGGAGTTGAATCCAACAAGGTTAAGTCGGGTCCTCTGCATGAATTCTTCTTTGTTAAAACGTTTCGTCTTTTATCCAAAATGACTTCTTCAGGCTGAGGAGCTGCAACAAAATCAGTCTTAGCAGCACTTTCTCATAGTAGATCAACCAGTTTGCTGCTGCAGCCAAACTAGTTATTCACATGCAAATGGAGGACCATCAGCGTAACATTTGGTTGTTAGCACCCTGATGGCTGCTTGTTATTCACAGAGGGCTGAGTGACACTAGCAGTAGGGACAGTTGAACATGGAGGCCTCCGCCCGTTTAATGATGGACGGGTTCTCTTCACAAAGATGACTTATAAATAAATAAATAAAGTAAATAAAATCAATTTATAAATAAATAAAGGTTTAAATTTTAAAATCCTGTAAAAAGGAGGAACCCAGGCCAGTGGTCATTCCGTATGTTGAGGGAGTATCAGAGAAACTGAGATGTTTATTTTCTAAACATAAAGGCCCAGTGGCTTTTAAACCCCAAAATACATTACGGCAAAGACTGGTTCATCCCAAAGATCCAGTCCCCTGGCACAAACAGAGTAATGTTGTGTATGCTGTTCAGTGTCAGGAGGGCTGTGATCAGTCTTACATCGGGGAAACTAAACAGCCACTGGCCAAAAGGATGGCCCAGCACAGAAGATCAACATCATCAGGCCAGGACTCTGCTGTCTACACTCATCTCCAGGCCAGCGGTCACTCTTTCAAGGATGAAGATGTTCACATCCTGGACAGAGAGGAACGATGGTTTGAGAGAGGAGTAAAGGAGGCCATCTTTGTGAAAAGAAATCATCCATCATTAAACAGGGGTGGAGGCCTCCGGGTTCAACTGTCCCCCTCTTACAATGCTGTGATTGCTAGTATCACTCAGCCCTCTGTGAACAGTAAACAGCCATAAGTGTGCTAATGATCCATTGTTAGGCTGATGGTCCTTCTTGAGCATGTGATCAGCTGGTTTTGGTTGTCAGCAGCAAACTGGTTGATCCACTCTGAGAAGGTGCTATTTAAGAGACTGAGCTGAATACAGCACCTCAGACTGAGGAAGTCTCTTGGATGAGAGACGAAACGTTTCTACATTTTTTTGCTTTGTTTTGTTTTTTGTTTTTTTGAATGTCCAGAGGACCAGATTGAACTTTTTTTGGATGGAACCAATAACTTTTGCACAATAAACATGAGCAGTTTCAACTTGTCCTAATTTTTTTAAAAAGTTTTTGGGTTGTTTACTATTAACTTAAATCTAATATTGTTAAAATCGATGTACATTTTGCAATCTTTAAAGGACTAGCACTATTGTTCTTGTCTTTCTATGGTTGAAATTATGAAAAAAGAAAACTTTTTTCTTTTTTTTTTACATATTGTTTTAATGAAAAATTGTAATCAGTGTTTTCTTCTGTCTAATAATGTGATTTACAAAAACAATGAAATATTTTGTGAATAAATGCTGTAATAGTGGGTGTTGTTCCTTGTAGATGTAACAATCAAACCCTGTCTGGCCTCAAAGGTTTAACACAATAAAAACATTGGAGTAAAAAGTAGGTTATGGACTTTGTACCAGTTTTGTTCAGTAACTGCACACCAAGCCTTGATTATCTTTTTTTTTACAAGAACAAAATAAAGGCACAGTACCGACATAAAAAGGTTTTATTTGACCTTTAGAACAACGTATTTATGTCAAAGTAAATATATAACTGTAATATAATGTAAAAGATAAAGGAGAGCTTACAGTAACTGATTAAACATTTTAAATGTGTAACATTTTACCAATCAAAGTGTTTGCATTTGATTTTATCTGATGAATGTGTTGATTCTGTCCCAAAAGAAGCAACATAATTAATTGCACTTTAGACAAAAGGTGCATGAATGATAGAGAAATGTACCGTATTTTTCGGACTATAAGGCACACTTTAAATTCTTTAATTTTCTCAAAAATCAACAGTGAACCTTATAATCAGATGCACCTTAGGTATTAATTCTGGTTGTGCTTACTGACCTCGAACCGATTTTACGTGGCACGTCGCTCAAAAATCTGTCAAAATGTTTTAGTTTTCCTTAACGCGCCTTATAATCCGGTGCACCTTACGAATAAAAACAGACCCGCTCATTGATATTGTGCATTCTAGTCCGAAAAATACATATTTATTTTATTATTAACCTTTATTTGATCAGTTAAATCTCATTGAGATCACAGATCTATTTTGCAAGGGAGGTCTAGGCTTGAACAAATGTATAATTTAACTAACCAAGATTCTTGTTTAGGCACAACTTAATTCTGTTCCTTATTAACGCTGGTGAAGATTCTCGGTCATCCAGGACATGGTAAATTCAAAAAAGTTCAAGACAAAAATGATTGGACTTTTATTTTGTAACAGAAGACGTTTTGCTTCTCATCCGAGGAGCTTTCTCGATTCAAAGAACAGAGAGTGTGGGGTTCGAGTTATAAAACTGAGGTAAGATACAGACATATGCAGATTGTCCTCTCACTCCTCACAATAGGGGTTCGTTAGGGTCTTTGTAAATCTGACTCACAGTGGAGCCACTCTGGTCACATGGATGAAATTCCTGATAGATGTGAAAATGACTGGGTATCAGGCCTAAAGCTGCATTATTTAGAAAGTTGAAATCTGAGACCTCCTCCTCTCTCGTTTTACATAAATTTCTTCCTTCACCCCCCCCACCCCCTCTCAAACCATCTGCAAGTCTGCTTATTATAAGCGACTTTGGGCTTGTTTTATTATAAAGTTGCTTGTAAATCTTGTGAGTCACGGTTGCTGTTTTTTGGGCTTGTTTTGAACGTGAAGTTGCTTATTTGGGCTTGACTTTCTTTCTGAGTGAAACTAGTTGATTATCTCCCAGCTCCGCACAATAAAGCAAAAGATGAGTAGTAATAGATAGTTTGTCACTTCCACTCCCCCATTTCCTGTTTATCGCTCCCATCCAAGATGTTGAGGCGACAGGTGCACACATAGACAAATACGTCTGTGGGCGCACACTCCAAATGCTCATACTGTGGCCGACCACTAGGGGGCTTCACTCATGATGTTTTGTTTTTAAAAATGTGTAGAAAACATTACATACGCAAAATGTATTTTTTTATCAGAGCTTAAAAGTATGTTATTCAAAGTGTTTATCATAATTTTGCTGTTTATGTGTAATGTCATCATAAATGTATGTTTATACTGTTTAAAAATGGCCTCTGTTTTTCACAATGAGGTGGGTTGCCAGTTGGGCTCGTTTTCATAGAGCTGGTTGCTTGTTTCTACTGCGAGATCTGGCAACACTAACCTTCTGTCTTCTCGGTCCATAACGTGAACATTCTGGTCCTCAAATGAGTGTCCCTTATCTGTGAGGATAAGGTGAGCTGCAGAGTCTTGTCCTGCAGAGCTGGCTCTCCTGTGTTGAGCCGTGCGTCTGTGAAGCAGCTGTTTGGTTTCTCCAGTATAGAGAAATACGTTCCTTATTAAGTAAACACATTTCTCCAGTTGAGTATCTTGATCATTTTTAAACATCTGTCCATGTTTCATTATGTTGTCAGCAAGGCAACTGGACAGCTGTCAAAACTATTCAATACATTATTAAATTATACATTTGTGGAATTATTCAGGGTAGGCTGATCATTCTTTATCTAATGACTAAATTTGGTGCTGCAGGTGACAAATGAGTCAGTTACCAGATCTCTGACCAATGACATCACAGTAACAAGTCAGACACCCTCTCTGAGGGATATAAAAGAAGCAGCAGGTCAGTGGACTCTGCAGGATTCTTCCCAACATCCATCCCATTATTCAAAGCTCTCAGACTTGGAGACTCTAAACTCCACCATGATGCTGGTCCTCTCTCTGTTGGTTCTGGCTCTGGCTGCTGCGTCTCCTTCAGATGGACAGATGAAGCTTCAACGTGGCAACTGTCCTGAGTCCTGGTTCAGCTTCAGCGGTCGCTGCGTCAAGTATTTTTCTTCACACGTGACCTGGGCTGATGCAGAGCTGCACTGCGTGTCACAGAAGGCCAACCTGGTGTCCATCCACAGTCTGGAAGAACACACTTTTGTCAATTCCCTGATCAAGAACTTTGATCCTGCTCGGAGACAAACCTGGATCGGACTCTCTGATCGCCACAAGGAAAAAAGATGGATGTGGTCTGATGGCTCTGCAGTGAATTTTGTATTTTGGACTGCAGGAGAACCAAACAACCTTCGGAATGCTGAGCACTGTGTGCACACCAGCTTCAAGAGCGAGAAGAAATGGAACGATTGTCCCTGTTCTGGGCGTTATCCGTTTGTTTGTGCCTCCCACAGTAAGTTCTTCTGTGGCAGCTAGAACGGTTGCACAAGTTTGAGCTGTAAAGTTTCAAATGACCACTTTTATGCACATTTGCAGTTAATTCACCAAACTAGATAAATGTGACTTTGGTGTTGCTTCGCAGGAGAAGAATTTTACAACCAGGACAAAAAAATGCAAACAGAGGAAAGTTCACGTCTGTATCAGTGCCTGTGATCCTTGTAAGCTGCTTGTTATCTTGATATTCCTCCATTGTATTATCACCATTTAATAGTTGTAAAATCAAGTATCATGTAACTGCAACCTCTATGTTGTGAAGCATACAGGTCTCGACAGCTCCTGGCTGTAAGATGACTGTTTTTATCACATCTGAGCTCCACTGTGTGTCAGAAAGAGACAGCCTGGTTTCAGTCTTTTATTATTTTATCAATTATTTTTGGGAATATATATGATTGTTTTTGTGAGCACTTTGTAAACTTATATCAGTTAGCCTTTTCTGTGAATCTTACTTACATCCATAGTGACGAAGAACAGAAATCTGTTGAATTTCTGATCAAGAACTTTAATCCCGCTCAGGGATGAACCTGGATTGGACTCACTGTTTACGAGGAAGGAGGATGGATGTGATCTGATGGGTGTAAATATATAGTTTCTCCACACGAATGGATGGATGGCCAGATGATTCACAAGGAATTGGACACTGTGGAAAAACAATAAAATAAGCAAATGCACAGAAATTGTGTTTAGTCAAGGGAAATATAGTTTTAATAATTTCAGGTGACATATTTTTTCCACCCCACACATACCAAAGAAAACAGCTTTGGACATCCAATCATTTCGAATATATGTAGAAATTGTTGAAAAATATAGAAGATGTCAATGAACAAAAGTTTTGTTGTTTTATGTGGTCTTTTTCTTTCTTTCTTTCTTTTTTGCATTAAACATTATTTTTCACAAATCAACTGTGCAATCTGTAAATTAGGGAAATAACGTCTGATAGGCCTGCTACAGTTTCTTATTTCACAGTTGATATCACCAACAACTGCACAACTCACTGGAGTTTGCCGCTCCACTTCGGATTTCATGCTCATGAAAAAATATTATTCATATGAAACTGCATGCATGGCTGTGGAGGACCACGGGAACCATGGCCATCACTGTGTGCACACTGACTTTAAAGAAAATGAAACACAAAATGATGTTTCATGTTCTGCAAACTACCCTTGTCTGTGCAACCCAGATTTCCAATCTCTTTTGATATACAAAAATTCATTTAGTTTAAGTTAACACAAAAGCACAACAAAAGTTCCCTGATAAGACCATTTTTCAAACATCTGTAAACACGTCCAGAATCTGCAGTTTATATTGTCTTGCAATAACAATTGAGAAGGCATTATTTTTTTAACTAGCTAATCATTCTCATTATTCTTTCTATTACAATTATTCTGTTTTTATATTATAATCTATAATGCATTTTTACATGTCTATATTATACATGATTTATGTTTACAACCTATTTCCTACAAATAAGACAGTGAAGACAAAAAAAAAAACTTTATAACCTAAAAAAAAGTGCATAAAAATACTACACTATATTATAATATAATATAATACAAAATAATACAAAATAAGCTGTTTTTTTGTTGTTGTTTTTTTTATTAGGAAGACATTTAAGTTATGAATCCTTCAGCTTGTCCCAGTTACAGCAGACAGCTCTAACCACGCCCACACATTGTTTTAGCGCGAAAAGTTGGACTGAACCATTATCAATATGCAGGGGGAGGACACTTACAAAGCGACTACTGGTAAACGTCGCAGCACCAACAATGCCTAAGTCTACTAGTTATAACTGATTTGTCTAATGTTTTAGATTGTAGAGAAGGCGAGAAGGTTACGGATATAAAACGTGAAAACAATTTTACACAACACCCCCCGACATTGTCTTCCCTGCGGTTGCGACGCTCGACGCTGTGCAGCAGTTGATTTTTTAATGAATCCCTCGTTCGTTTTTGCTAAAACTTTGCTGCTTCTCTGAAATCTCCCGTCAAAACGGACGAAATGGACCTCACGTCAAAGGTAAGGCCTTAAACAGTCCTTTCAAGCATCTCTTTTTTTTTTTTTTCTGTCGGAATTTATGTTCATTCATGAATGAACAAAGACGCCGCTGTTCAACCCTTACAAAACAAACACTTTATTTCACGAGGAGTATCAGTTAGCAAACTATTTAAAAAACAGGCTCTTATGTGTAACAGTTCCTACTGCTTGTGTAAAGTTCATGCCCAATAATCTGTAGTATTTACTTAATATTAATTTCCATGCCATGTATTGATGCCCATCAGTGCTGCAGCTCAAAGAGGTCAAAGGTCATCTCGTTCCTGTAGCTCCCAGAACTTCACTTTTACACCATCAGAAATAAAAGTGTCAGAAATGGCTGTTAGGAGAGCACAGGAGGGTTGTGAACACCAAAATACCAACAAAGGTGTACTAATGTTATATTTCACAACTTATTTCTATTAAAAATATGTTTGGAATTGGATAAGTAACACTTGTTTACTAACGTTACAGGCCACTTTTCCTCTGCAGTGCTCTTACATGTCGTGTTTTATTTTTAATAACTATACAGAGCCCAAAAGAGAGATTGTACATAAATATGTTTATGATTGGATGAGTTATTCTGCTTAATTTTTCTATAAATATATTCTATTGATCAGTGGCCTCTGATCTGGTCTTATTGTATGGAAAACAATTCAGTTCAGTTTATTTATAAAGCACCAAGTCCAACAGAAGTCATTTCAGGGCACTGTACAGAGATATTCATATATTAAAAGTAAGTTAACATTATTTATCTGAGGAGCAGACTGCTTTGAGTTTAACTTCATCATACACTCTCATCTTGAGCAAGCATGAAGGCGACCGTGGGAAGAAAAAACTCCCTCATGAGGAAGAAACCTTTAGCAGAACCAGGCTCAGGACAAGCGTTCATCTGCTTCGACCGTGCCATATTGTCTGCCTGTTAATGTTGGAGTGATACTGTTTAGATTAGATGCACAAAAGAAGTGGGGGGAAAAGAATTATTACTTAGGCCATATAGCTTTAGCACATCTGGAGCATTAAAAATGGAGAAGTAAAGAGACTGAGGACAAAACCAAGGTTAAGTGGCTTTTCCTTTTCCACTTCATCTTGTCACTGGTCTGAAATGTCCCACCAAGTTCTAGTGCAGGAGGTTTGGAGCGATAAGTGACGTCATGGTTTTTACCAGTTAAAACCCAGAAAGATACGTTTTTCTCAGTGACAGTCGGCCTCGATTTTTGTTTGTCCTGGCAGCCTGTCCAGTTGCACAGCTCACACATATTTTCCTTCAGCGTTAAAGGATGTGAACTGATGGACTTGGTCTCCCTCTGGTGTAAAGGTTCAAAACTGGTCTGAAATGTAAAGTTGTGGCTGAAATGCTGAATATGTCTGTCAGCAGGCTCCAACTTTCAAATCCAAGTTCATAACCGCTGAGCTGGCTCATCTGTTCAGTCAGTCAGACAGCGAGGATGAGTTTGAGGGTTTCAGTGAGGACGAGGTGGAGGGGGACAGAAGACGTTGCAGCAAGCGCCTTAAGACAAAGGTATGACACTTTGTTTAATGAAAACATGAGACTGTGAAGCAAATAGGCTTGTTTTTCCACATCTGGGTTCTCTCCAGCAGGCAAATTCAGAGGAGGACAGAGAGGAGGACACAGGCTTCTACTCGGATGGCGAGGAGGCCCCTGCGCCAAAGAGGAGGAGTCTTTTAGTGGCTCTCAGGTGTGTGTCTGTTTATGCATTATTAAACAATCAAGAATTGAGTCACAAAGAAGGTTGCAGGAGTCGTCGTCATTTTTATTACAATTTAAAACTATTTCTCAGGTTTCCAGTGAAAAGACTATCGACTGCTAAACAAGAATTAAACAAGAAAAATATGAAAATGCCTGGGAAAGAGAACTCTCCGTCAGTGAGAGCCAGGGGCAGGAGGATGATTACGCAGGAGGATGATGATGAGGAGGAGGAGGAGGAGGAGAAGATGGACGACATAGAAGAGCCTCAGAGCTTGACAAAACGAAAAAAGAACATCCAAGAGAACAAAGCCATGGTAATAAACTCTCAGCTTTTATTGAATGATATAAATAATTATTGTAAATGCTTTAAATACATCAACTCTTGGACCTTTATATTGTTGACTTGGTTCTTTGGTGGTTTTTCAGCTGGCTAAGCTGTTTGCTGACCTGAGCTCCATGGCTGACCTGACCCTGCCCACCGCCCCTCAGGTGACTACATATCCCCCCCCTTTATAATAAACAACAACTGCTGGAAATGAACTACGCTTAAAGTCAAATTGATTTCAAATTGAATTATGTTTGCTGCATTATTATCACTTAAATTAGGATCTCACAGTAATATGTGAGTAGTAACAGATGAAAATGGAAAATAAACGCACATCGCCTGCTGCCTTTCATGCCAGTTTTAATCTAAGATCATCTTAGGATGAGAAGGGGCAAAGTTATAGCTGTTTTTGGTCAAACCTTATAAATCACATGGGATGTTGTGAGACCTTGGACAACTGTGGCTGAGTGGTTAGAGCAGTCGTCCTTTAATGGGTGAGTTGGGGGTTCAAATCCACCAGCAGTCACATGCTGAAGTGTCCCTGGGCAAGACACTGAACCCCTCATTGCCTCCGATGTGTGTCCCATTAGTGTATGAATGTGATAAAGCTCTGATTATTCTTTGTATAGTTCTAGTAGAGTGCTGTATGAATGGGTAAATGAGGGCACAGATTGTAAAGAGCTTTGAGTAAGCGCTATAGAAGTACAGTCCATTTACCATTTACGTTATGAGATGTGAAAGAGCTCAGAAAATATGTTCAACGTGACTCAGCTACCACCACACCAAATTTAAACCCACTAACTGTAGAATCGACTCGGTCGCAGACAGTTTTGTTTTGGCTAACGTGAACGACCGTCTTGAACTGAAGTGGATTCAAAAGTTAATTTGTTGTAGGTGTGCATGAGAACTTCATTAAAATCCACACGGTGGTTTCTGAATTATTTTCTAACGCCACAGGTGCGTGGACACAGATAAAAGCAGAAACATAATCTCCTTTAGCAGCTAAACATGTACTGTTGTACTCATCCTGTTTTTGCCTTGTGTGTCTTCAAAAGAAGAAACGGGCGTCACAGAAGGCAACACCACAAAAACGCAAGTTCGAGTCCAACGTGGGGTCAGAAAGGAGGAACCCGTCCCGTAAAGCTCGTCCTCCTGAGAACTTTGGAGTGGAGGAACTGGGAGAGCCAGTTATTCGCAGAGGCCCTAAAAGCATAGACATCATGAGGCTGGTGGAGGTATGACGTTACATGCGCTTTATTGTGGCTGCCGTGGAAGTAAAGTTAAAGGGATAGTTCACTTCAAGGAGTTATCTACAACTGATAGAATATTTATTGTTTATAACCTTTCTACAAAATCTCTCTTTAAAAAAGTCCAAATTATTGCTTTAGTATGTGAGGGGCCTACAGGAAACAGATTCTTTTAAATAGATTTTCTATTTCCAAGATATTAAATACATTTATCTGCTTTTATTATGTTCTGCTCAATTTGTTATAGTTAGCTCTTGTAAGAAATATTTAAATAATTTTTTATTTTAGCCCATTTGAAATTTTTAGGAGTTCTCATTCCAGTGATCTGTTCGTTAATGATACAGTTAGGAGTTGTCTAGTCATATTTTAGATGTTGTTAAACAAACAATTATTCTTTTGAGTATTTAAAGAACTTGGTGTGTTGCTAATACCATTTGAACATGTTTTAATGTTTGTAGCCCCCAGTTTGACCTGTAATGTGTTGAAACTGTTCAGGTGGACGAGGAGCTTGTAGGCAAGAGGAGGAGAAAAGGCTACTCTTCCAGGAGGAGTCGTTATGTGGTGAAGTCTGTCGATGAGATCACTCGAGAGGACCTGGACAACGTGGCTTATCGCAGCAAAGACAAGATCTGGGACAAAGAGAATGTGAGTTGTCTCCTCTCGCTCTTATTATTTGTCCTGTGACATGAGCAGACATCCTGAGTTTTTGTTTGTTTGTTTTTCCCAGGGCAGCTCATGTCACCAGTGCAGACAGAAGACTCTGGACACCAAGACAGTGTGCCGCAGTGGTTTCTGTGTAGGGGTCAAAGGTCAGTTCTGCGGCCCGTGCTTGAAGAATCGCTACGGAGAGGACGTGCACACTGTGCTACTCGACCCGGTCAGTGTTAACAGAGTGTATGCACAAGTGCTTGTAGGTGTTGTAAATTTGAGACTGAGCCTTCTTTGAAGACTTAATAAGAGATTAAGAAAAACTAGCTAATGTTGCTGAAATATACAGATTTGAAATCGCAAAACAAATTCTGTTTTTTTAATCAATAAGTTTTACCAAAGTCTCTTCAATACTTGTGAACTTTATGCTTTTTTTTTTTTTTTAAGACGTGGTCATGTCCCATCTGCCGGGGAATGTGTAACTGCAGCCTGTGTCGTAAGAAGGAGGGCCGCTGTGCCACGGGGATCCTGGTGGGCTTGGCCCGCTACAAAGGTCATGATAACGTCCACGAGTATTTGGAAAGGTGGGTTTCCTGTCTGTCAGCTATAGGGATGCAGCCAAACTGAAAGTGCTATGATGTGGTTTAAATCCTATTTATCTGATAGATTCCAGTTTGTAATGTTCTTCATACAGCAAAGTTAGTCATGGAGTTCCTCAGGGTTCAGTGCTTGGACCAATACTCTTTACCTTCTACCGGTATACGTTTCCATTAGGTAATGTTATTAAACAGCATGGGATAAATTTTCATTGTTATGCTGATGATACACAGTTATATTTGTCCATGAAACCCCATAAATCTAACTGGTTATTTAGACTACAAGCATGTCTTAAAGACTTAAAAACCTGGATGAAACTAAGTTTTCTGTTTTTAAACTCGGACAAGACTGTTTTGGTTTTTGGACCTGAGCATTTTAGGAATAAATTTTGCAGTTTTTCGCCCTCCTTGGATGGAATTAATCTAGCCTTCAGCTCTAATGTTAAAGATAAAGTTATTAACTTTTTATGTAGATGAATGTTTCTGTTCAGTGCCCTGAGATGATTTCTGTTGTGACTTGGTACTATATAAATAAACTGAATTGAATGTGAAAACAATACGCACAATTTTGTATATCTTGTGACGGTTCCCGTATTTACATTTCTGGTAATTTGCTGTATGCACAATTGACATGAAAAAGGCTTAAATTTAGTTTCACTGTGAGAAAACATTAAGATATCTCTAAGTTTGTGGTTATAAAGTTCATATCTAGTCTGATTATAAGCTGGTTTACCACTTTTCAGTGTTCATGTTAATATGAGAGTATCTTTAGGTTTGGATACATATATTGCTCTTTTAAAGATCTCGTTTAGACTCTGGAAAAAATTGCAAAGTGCATTTTATTAAAGTGATTGTCGTTTTATTTATAAACCAAGGGCTCATGAAGTTGCAGCTCTAATAAGGAGGTGAACTCATGTCCTGCGTCTCTGTGTTACAGTATTCAGAAACAGCTGCAGTGAAGTCCGGACGTCCTAAACACTTGATACCTGCAGGGGTTGTGATGCTCCACAGTACTGTACAAATCATTTTACTGCACATTGTTTTTAGATTTAGACTTACTGCACCCAGTTTTTTATTCTAAGACATGTACACGGTTCATGTTTTAAATAGAAATGTTCTGTATAGCCTGGTTTAGGGGCTGCATAAGATGCAGGAGTATTTTTGTTGTTCTAGCCAGTACTCTGTTGAGCTGTGCATTTTTTTTATGTACATTCAGACAAATTTAATTCTGAATGTGTTTAGAAACTGTTTTCTACACAAGCTTAAAAACAAAAGAACTTTGCAGCGGTCTTATTGGTGTACTGTATATTTGAATAAAGGCATGCATAAATAAAATACTCTTTGTTTTTTAGTAATATATGTCCAGATGAAGAGTTAAAGCCAGATATTTACATACACTGCATAAAAGTACTACTGTTTTTGGTTTGGATGTTGACCTCTTTACTTCCTGTTTGCTTCAAGTAAAACATCCATATCATTGTCTCTTATGGATCATTTGACACGTTTGCTGAGGAAACAGAAGGATCACAATTTAACTCATTTTGCAAATTTGTCGTGTTTATTATTAGAAGACACGGCTTGTTTTCAAGCTGCTGTGTGCGTGTCATTAACCAGATGATCACTGTTCTAGTTGATTTTTAAAGTAAACTTTTCTGAATAAAAAGATAAAATATGTCAGCCCACTTGTTTACAGCCTGATTTCTGAGGTTCAAATTTTTCTGACACAAAATTCAATGTCAAAGTATCAATTTTCTCAAGATTTTCTCTTTTTGAAGTGCTTCAAAGGAAGGACACGAGCTTTATGCTACGTGATCTCTTTGTAAACTTGACTGGCCCGTCGTTGAACTCGAGTTCCTGCTGCGTTTAAAAAAAAAATCATGTTTTCTAAAGTTTTTCTGTTTTTGAAGAAACGGGCGTAAAGTTTAAATTTGTGATGGATTTGATTCCTTTTTAGGTTTTACATGCAAACACCAGAAATTTAACTCACTGTATTGTCAAGTGTTAAGCAGGCAAAGCATGTTCAGTTTGTTTTTTTAATTTTTATTTTTTATTTGACGTAACACATTTGTACAAACCAGTTTTAAAAATATCAATAAACTGGAGCCTTTAAGGCTAACCTGGCAAAAAACCCATTATCAAATGTCATGGAGACGGACAAACATCTTTTAGAAAAAGATTTACAAATGAGATGTCACTACAAAATAGAAAAGAAAGGAAAAACATTAGTTGTCACACAAAAAGATTTAAAAACATCTAGTCGTTTGGTATCAACCCCTTTTTCAGATTAAGACAACAGTATTTTTTTTATTATTTTGCTTTCTTCTTTTTGTTTTTCCTCCAAAAACATGGCGCAGAAAGGGAGAAAAAAAAATGAAATGAAGAGCAACAATCGGGCGCAACGAAGATTCAAACAGAAAAATAAAAAGCAGCGCTACGACGAACCGAAACATGCTGTACACAAGAATCAACGCACAAATACGAGTCCAAACCTTACAAATCAATGATAAATAATAAATTAGTCACACACAGTGGGGTCCTGTGTTTGAACTCTCAGAGAGCGAGGCTTAAAAAGAAATTGGTTAAATTCTATAAAATGAGCGTAGATTTAAATAAAAAAGAAACTTACGCACTGAACTAACACGGAGCAACATCACCGGAAAATATTATTATATCCACATAGCTGAACAGCCCGACTCTTGCTGCTCTCTGCACTTTTTTAAATTTATTTTTTTTAACTGCTCGTGCTTTGGCCCTTCTTTGCCCCTTCACCTCCATCGGTAGATAACTGCTTTATTTGGACGATGGAGTTGAATCAGCCACACGGCAGGTTAGAGGTGAGATCCTCACCGAAGCACAAGCAGCATTAAAAAGATCAGATCTTTTCAAGTGTGGTTCTGTGGAAGGCTTATGAACAGTTAACATCTTACTTGTAGAGGGATCTTGGAACATCCTCAATTTGGAGAAATGGTTTATTTTTAACTGGATTTATGAACTAATGGTTAGACTGAAATGGATTGCTGCCATCCTAAAACAACTCCAACCTCAAAATATTTACTTTTACACCAGTACATATTTCACAATACAGACAGAAATATATTTTAAGTTTCCTAGGCTGCAACGTAAGTGCAGCTAGCTGCCACTAATGCTAATAGAATAAAAACCTGAAAAATTGTTATAAATTAAAGTCCTAACTTTCCTGGAAGGAACTCGTATTGCTCATCATCTTTCATTCCAGAGTTTTAGAGAAAATCTTACGTTGAAACATGGAGTTGTAGATGTATTGGTCAAAACTTTGAAAATAAAGTTATACACAATCGCATGATGTCACGCTCAAAGACAAAAAAAAAAAAACTATGAAAAAACCTAGTTTAAGCCCAGTTCTTGTAAAATTAATGCGGTTATAGCCCTTTTTGTGTTTTGTGAAGTTATAAGGCTGCTTGTCAGCTTTCATTGGGTTGGCTCCTAAAGTTAATCAGTGGTAGATGTAGAATAAATAACTTCCTGAAAGTTTCATAAAGTTTGTCGTGTGGTTAGAGATATTTTGCTAACAAAGCAGAGTTTAAACAATTATTTCACAATCTTTGCAGTCAGAATGTGTCGGATCAGTCTCGGCTTCTTCCATCTGTGAAACTGACTGAGTTATAGGTATTTTTGTGTTAGATAAGATTGCTTTTCTGTGGTGGCCATCTTGAATTTGGTTGTCTCCAGAAGTCAATAGTAAGTGTGAATGATTACTTTCAGAAAGTTTTGTTAAAATCCACTTGGTGATTGAGATATTTTGCTAACAATACAGACTAACAGACACAGGAACGTACATAACCACGCAAAACTGACCAATGAAAAGGTTTATAAATCAGCATCCATGTGAACTGCTTCAAAATATTTTGAGATTTGGATTATTTTAGGATGACAGCAATTTAATTTGATCTTAAGTTCAAAATAACCGCTAACTCGTCAATTTGTTTAGAATAAAACTTCTGTTTCTCCAAACTGAGCTCATCCCAAGAGGCATCTACAACAGGTAAGATATTTTTAACCGTTCCAGAAAACCCTACTTTAAAGTATCAGATTTATCGCTTTAAGGAACGTAAGCGACCGTGCTGCCATCTGACAAAGCGGTTGTTCCTTCTACCATCTGGAGCGACTTGATATTAAACAAATCAACGTATGGCGCAGCTTGGATGTTGAAGCCACTCTGTGGTAACTGCAAAGCAACCAGGTTTGTCCAAACGACAGCACTACTTCCTGAATCCAGGAACAAACTGGCTTGTTTCACCAACAAAGAAAATCCCCCTTAATGTAAACATGGTTCCACTAAGATTGTCATCATAGTATTGCTTTCACGTCACAAAGTTGCAGAAAGCTAGATTGTTTTTTTGTTTGTTTTTAGTCTCTATAGAAACCTTATTTTTTCTAATGGCCTTTGTGCCTCAATAGGAATGCATTATTTATAAATCTTTTTATATGTGCTTGTTTTCTACTCTTCTCTTAAGAATTTCCCTCCCCATCGATCCTCTTCAAGAGTTTGTCGACTAATCAAATGAATCAACACTTGAAACTCCTCTGAGGACTAAACCTGAACCAAAAATAAAATTTTAGGTAGATCCTGAGCGGGACAGCGTGGGAGTACAAACACAATCGTTCCATTTACAAACGCACACACACACGTCCCAAAGCTGCCCCAGCTCTGCCGCTTCTCTACAACCATCCTGTACCGTGATTGACCTCAGCACTGTCTGACAGGTATGAAACAGGAACACAGCTTTGTGCATAGAGTTAGAATCTGTTAGGAAATGCCTCTTGGTGTTGGATGGTTTTCGATTTGCCAGGTCCCCCTGTCTTGTGCTCATCGACTTACATTCCTCCCCCCACTGCACACGGAAATTTCATAGATTAATTTTATAAATGCCAAACTAATCTCTTCATACAGTCTTAAGTTTTTGTTATATGTAAATTTATTTTTCCTTAGATTGTAATTATATTTTTTCATATTCATTACATGTTCTCGTCTCCTTTCTGCATCTTTTATGAGTGAAGAATTTTGTAAATTCATGTAAAATAATAATAAATTAAAAAAAAAAAAAAAACCTTACAGTCCCTGCAAAACCCTCCAGTCAACAAAGAGGAGGTTGGCCTTCGATTTGTCTATTCAAACTCCTCTTCCTCCAGGTGATTGGAGGTGGTGGGCGTGGCAGGTTCGGAGTCCCGAGTCAGGGTTCCCACGGAGACGATCTGCGGGGAGTCGGGCAGGCCCTCGGGGGCGTCTTCCTCCAAGTCGTCAGTGGTAATGATTGCCACGGCGGCGCCGCTCTTTTTGTTCTGATGGGTCTTGATGTGCTTCGAGAGGTGGTCGCTGCGCATGAAGCGCTTGGAGCATTCGGGGCATTCAAAGCGCTTTTCCCCTGGAGGTCAGAAGATTTAAAAATTTTTAATTCAAATACAGCCACAAATAATCAAACGGAGGAAATGCTTCATGTGTTCTCAGTCAGATCATCTGCAGCCGTGTTTGTATGCTTTTCCAACCTGTGTGTGTTCTCCGGTGTCTCTGCAGCTCGTCGCTCCGGGTGAACCTCTTGCCACAGAAGATCCAGTTACAGACAAACGGCCTCTCGCCAGTGTGCCAGCGCAGGTGGGCCCTCAGGTGGGAGGTCTTTCCGTACACCTTCCCGCAGCCCTCCATGTGGCAGATGTGTTGCTTTTTCTTTGTGGGGTCTCCGCTGTTCCTGTAACGCACACCTCATTTTGTTAGGAGGAAACTAGAGGATGTAACACAAATGGGGGGAGGGGGGGTTCTCCATGTAAACATCTCAGTTTGTCACTTTTAGTGAAAACAGTCAAAAGAACTTGATTTTTGAGGGAACTTCAACGAGCCTTCAGTTTGAAGCTGGGCCTTCAAAATGTGGCTTTTTCATTTAAAGATCAAAATAACATTTTGGAATATTTTTCAAAACTGCACACTTGTGTACATTTCTCCCATTTAAAATGCAACACAACTACGAGTGTTTTAAATGATCAGATATTAAAACCAGGTCTCCATCTGTGCATTTTAGTGTGTTATTCTAATCTGTACCTTCCTTCTCCATCCCTGCAATTTGGACAAGAGCAGGCGACGCGTCTGAGCCTCTTGCTGGGCAGCCCCTCTTGGTCTGAAGAACTCTGAACAGAGCCCAGCTGGTCTGGACTCAGTGATGAACTTGAAGCCACATTGCCAACGGTGACAGTCACAGGAGAAGACTGAACTTTGACCCCGTCTTGACCATGTGGTTGACCTAAAGGATGAATAAAATAACTATAAATAAAGAGTAAAAAAAATATATATATCCATCGTGTCTGTGGGCAAGTCTGCAAAAACACTACAGTGGAGGAAGCTAGAAAGACCATAGAAAGCTTCTAGTTTCATTCATTCAACCTTTATTTATACAGGTTAACTCCAGTGAGCTTCGGGACTCATTTACAAGAGGGACCTGTACCCTAGCACCAGGATTATTTGAACAGAAAGGAACAGAACATAATCGTGTAGTTCAGCTTTGAATAGCAACTGTGAGAACTGTTACAGTACTCAAAATATGAAGGTTGTAGCATTTCAACTGAAAACAACCGAATTCACACAACCACGTTGCATGTATTGCATTTGAACGTCAAATGATCCAATGAATAATTACTTTGTAAACATTAATATAAATACTTTATGTGCCTACCCTGTAGACCGGTGATGGTTACAGGTACACCCTGTACCTGAACTCCAGCTGTGCCCAGTCCTGCGATGCTGACCGTCTGCACTCCTGAGCCTGGGTTAATCTGAGCTGCACTCAGCGTCAGCGGAGTTCCACTCAGGGAGACCAGCCCTCCACTCCCCGCTGCCGTCCCACCGGCCACAGGGGTCAAAGTTAGCTGCTGTGGTACGGTTGTCCCCAGACCTCCCTGCAGGGAGACCCCTCCAGGCAGCTGAAGAGTCTGCCAGGTGATCTGGCCAGAGGGTGACATGGTCGGAGCACGAATAAGAACCTGGGCTGGGTTCTGGAAGGCCTGAATCTGCTGCAGGGTTTGTCCTGGGGCCAGCTGGAGTGTCTGAATATGTTGGGGCTGCTGCTGGCCCTGTGTCTGACCCTGGCTCTGAGGTTGCAGCTGGATCTGCTGTACCAACTGGTGCCCCACCTGGCCCACGATCACCTGTTGGATGGTTCCTGCTGAGTCTGACTGGCTCTGGAGCCCATTTGCCTGGTTCTGGCTCTGAGAGTCAGCTTCACTGGTCTGAGCTTTGGGGTCAGCTGATCCACCTTCTTGTCCAGCAGAAACCACCTGAACCCCCTCAGTCGCTGCGTCACCTTCAGCTGCGGTCAGCGTTGATCCAGTCGCAGCTGGAACAGAAGCCCCTCCCGACACTGCTGTTGTTACCAGCTGGTTGCCATTAGCAACGGAAAATGTGCCATCTGCTGATTGGATAAGCTGCACAGCCCCGCCCCCTCCCACATTGTTGATCACAGGCAAAGCCAGGGTCATGCCACCAAGGTTTATGGGGACCGTGGTCATCACTGAGGTCTGGGAGCCTTGCAGCGCCTGCAGCTGAAGTGGGAACGACTGTGCAGGACGGATCTGCAGTGGGACTGTCTGATTGGCTGTGCTTGGTAGAATAGTCTGCTGATTGGCTGGTTGGAGGATAGCCTGGGTCTGGCCTGAGTTTGGGGTCTGGATAAGCTGAACCTGCTCAGACAGAGCTCCGATGGAGGCCGGCTGGGGGTTGATATGAATCTGCTGTCCGTCTGCAGTTTGCAGGTGGGGGATAACCTGATACTGTACACCACCTCCAGCATTGGGCAGGTTCTGCACCTGGATGATCTGGAATTGCTGCTGCGGCGGCTGACTGGCTGGAATGCTGTTGATCCCACCTGCTGCCTTCAACTGCCAAAAAGCAAAAGAACAGAACTATATGTGAGTGGACAAAAAAAAAAAAGAATTGCCCAGCTCTGACGTTTAACAAATCTCATTCACCTTGCGCCCACCAGGAGAGCTGTCATTGGCCAGAGTGGTGGCCACGGTCACAGCAACAGGTTGACTGGCGTTCTCCTTGGCCATGGTAGGAGCTGCGGCGATGATCTGCCAGCCGTTGCCCGTAAACTGAGCCGGGACCAGTTCTAGCTGCTGAGGCACCAGGGCCTGACCCCCAGCGGCGTCCACCAATATTTGTCCCTGAAGCTGACCTGCCTGCAGCTGAATCTGACCAGCCTGGACCTGGATCTGCTGGGCCTGGGCTCCCTCCGCTCCCCCCTGCCCTCCGATCTTACTGCAGGTGGCTGCTAGCAGAGCCAACGGAGAGGGCTGCGAGGAATCCTGCAAGAGGAGTGACAAAGGGTCACACAGAACATATAGACACAAAAACAGCTACATCGTGAAAACATTTAAAAAAGAAGGGCAGTTATTTTACAAACAGTTCCACATTTAACAAATTGAAATGAAAGATGATCATTTCTTTAAAGAATGAGGGGTGGGGAAAAACATGACAGAGAAAAAGGAAACACAGTAAGCCCAGAGACAGAGAGCTGTCAGTGGAAGTGGGTGGTATTACAGGAAGTGAGTGGGTGGGCGTGTGAGAACCACATTTCTCTTCTCAGAACACTAGAAGAAAAAAAGCCGCCTTCTCTCTCTGCTCCTTTGTAAAAGAACTAGGTCGCAGGCAAATTTTGAACACTACACACCTTTTGACACTTTAAAAAAAAGCCTCCGAGCACGGGACACACCAGACACTTGACAACGACAAAAGGTTGCAACAGAATAAATGAAGTGGCTAAAAATGATCAAGTTGCAGAACCAAAAACGGGAGATATATTTTTTAAACATATCCATGAATTTGATCTTAATTCAAACAGACAACACAAAAGTACAGCTGCTGGAGTGTGACAGTCATATAAGCGTATTCATGAGGCTTTGGGTTGGATTTTAGCAGGACTGCACAGAAGCAGGAAGTGAAATTCACCAGAGAAACGCCCCCAGAGGTGTCTGGCTGGCTGCTTGGGAGGGAGGGAGGACATTTTTGGCCTACAGGCAAGTCAGAAACTAATGAACTACAATAAACTTGTTTATTTATTTATCCATTTTACCTGCGATCCAGAACTTTTACCCCGTTTAGATGCTTTCCCTCCTTCAGTTCCAGCTGATTCCTTCTTGGAGTCTGTGGAAAAATAAAAAAAGTACAAATTCAGAATATTTCTCTGATGAATCCTAGCCACATGAGTATTTTATGCCAAGTCCCTAGATACGATAAGCAAGCGCAATGTCGGTGCTGTGGAGTGTAAATAAAATGAGAGCATAAAGCAGGTTCAGCAAAACAAAGGTGATCAATAAAGACAGAAGAGAAACCAGTAACCTCATCATCGATATCAAAGAAGGGGGCATGGAGCCTCCTATCTGTCAGACCGATAGAGAAAGAGAGGGGTGGAGACGGACAGGGGGGAGGGTACTTACCACTCATAACGCATTAATATACCGAGAGGGAGAGGGTGTAGTTCACGGTAGAAGGCCGGCCGGGTACGGAGGCGGAGGACGGCCTATATGTTCGGCTCTGGGCCGTAGCGGATCTGCTCGTTTGACGAAACCACCCACCCAGCCAGGAAGGGCGGTGCCAAGCGCGTTTACAAACGAGCAGCCCTCCAAAATAACGGAAACAGCGGAGAGCGAGCTAACCGTCCTCGCTCTGTCGGACTCCTCGCGGCCCTTTCCTGCGTCTCCTTCGCCCGGAAAGACAGTCCATAAACGAGCTAATTTGTGTCCGTCAGAGCGATATCCACAGAGAAGTTGGCAGTGTGTGACCGTAGAGGCCCACCCACTTCCATTTAAGCATCCAGGACAACACCCTCCTCGCTTTGCTCCTGCCTGTCACCGCCGCTTCTCCCCCTCGACACACGACGCGGAGACGCCTCGTCGCCGTCCGTCGCGCGCCGAAACCGAGCCGTCACCTTAGTTTGTATTTTACGCGTATTCCGTTTTTATTCGTGCACAACTGGTTTTTCTTTTAAAGAGAGATTCGTGGAGATAGCTGTGGCTTTTGTGGGCGGATGCGCTCCTCCCACATATTCAGATTGGACGACGAGGCTCGGAGTGCGAGGGTCGAGATGGGAGTTGTATTTTGACGAGGCCTCGCCTTCTCGAACATGCTAGGGCGACTGAAACTACAGTTCCCATGATGCTGTAGCGGCGATACTGTCGGCCATGTTGAAGCGAAAGAGAAGGGCGGTGACTGCTCTGCGATGTGGGGGTTGGGCGAACAGGATTGGAAGAGAAATGTAAATAAGAGTGATGAAAAATTATGAAAGGCGAGGTTTTACAGTGACATTAATCATTTCGTTCCATTTATGTTGAAAGTCTTGCCTTTCTGAAAACTTTTTTTTGACAAGTTTAAAACTTCATCAGAGCGTTTAGGAAGAGTCAAACAAAATCCAATGTCGCAAAAAACAGCCATACAACTTGTTCGCTTAAAAAAAAATGATATTTTTTTAATAAAGAATTACGTAAAATACACAAAGCTTTCTAAATGTAAACACATATTTTTAACCCACCCTTACGAAAGCATTATTCCGAAGAGCTAAAGCAGTTTTAAGTTAAACACAACCACACACACATACCTAGCGTGGCCCAGAAACACACGCGCGCGCTGTAATTATTGCGGAAGCTAAGTGCCATGTTACCGCCCCCTGGGCCACTTGTCAGACCGTTGCTAGGCAACGAGGTCTTGTCTGACAGGAGGTGTTGTCAGTAGGTGGGAGAGATGGAAGGAGGCGTGGCCGGAAAAAGACTGTGACGAACAAACAGAAAGCAAATCTCCCCCAACCTCTGCAACAACATTACTTTAAGCAGCTCCTCTGTCCAAGAGAATATTCACTTTCATTTAAGTCGCATTTAGCTTTTGCTAAATGTATGAAAGAAAAGTCCAGTTGCAAATCACATTACAGTATTTACATTTTTTGGATTAAGAAAAACAAACCTAAAAGAGTTGTGTGTTTTGCAGCATTGGCCACTAGATGGCGCCATAATGTTGAGTCAATCCCAAATTCTCACCGATGTGCAAAGGTAAACAAATAAATATTGTATATTTTTTAAATAATAATGATGATTGTAATGATAATAAACCAAACATTTTTGAATAACAAAAATATTATCAACAGCCAGTATACCTTGAACAATACCCAGTGCATATTAGATGTAGCAACCAATTCAATTATTATTGCGCATGCATCAGGACAATTCAAATATACTTACGAACAAAGAAAGTAGGTAAATGAGTAAGCAAATAATGAATAAATAATATATTTTAGATATAAAAATGCAACCAGTTGTGTAAATGTGCCCTAACTCCCCAATATACAGTATTTCAATGCAAAGGTTCCCAAAGTTGGGGGCCCCTGTTAAGGTCATGAAAACCAAAGTGTGGCGTCTTGAGAGAATCTACAGAAATCTAACTAGCTTTAAAAATGATTGTCATTAGCATATTTATCCTTAACTGTTCCCCCCAAAAAATACTAAATTATTAAAAATGCATAAAATTGTATGCAGTGTTTGATAGGGATCTTTTACTTTTCATTTTAGTCTACATTTATGGCTCTTATTATGCACTAATTTGCAATAATTGTGACATATACAAGTGACACATACACATGTTTGTCACATACACATGTTTGTTTTTAAAAGTAAAAGTGCATGTACAAAAAAAACCTTTTTAATAGTTATAAACATTTTGTGTTTGAAAAAATTATACCAAAAGCTTCCTATAAGTAATTCACCAAAATACACAAATTTCCTTCTTTTATTTAATAACATCTTTATTTAAGCCAACAGTACAGACGTTACAGGATATGAAACTAATTAGCACAAAAAGAAGTTTACAAAACAAGAAATTGTCTGGAAATATAAAGAAAATATCTGAAACAAATGTGCAGTGTGGTGCACAGATATGTTACTTAATGGACAAATAAAAGCAGAATTTATAGTGGATCCAGTAAATGCAGAGACTTTATGAGGAGATAGTTTTAAGGCACATCTTTACAGCGTGCATGTGTGTGTGTCATCTGCGCACCAACTTTAACTGGGAGCAAAGCAAACATTTTGGCTTTGCGTGTCCAGATAAACTTAAAGAAATAATATTAATAAAAAGAATCAGCACAGATGAACTTTGAACTTGTGAGTAAGATGACAAATGTCACATTGAAGCATCCTTTTGATCTTCAACTTACATACTTAAAATAAATACTTACTGTATATTTAATACTTGTTTTAAAAATATGAACAAATGAAGGCCTAGCGTTGAAGAAATTTTGCCAGACATGCCAGAGTTTAAGATAATCTTGTGTTGCACAGCGTTGTAGTTGTTTTGGTCAAAGCTCACATTAAGTGTCAGCTGATGTCAAGTTTTAGTTTGTTTTCAGCAACACTCACTAAGACATCTGTTTTTATGTCGGCTGATGTTGATTAGATGTGCCATCCATCTTGAAGTGGACTGACTCTAAATGTTAATCAGGTGTAGATATATGTCTATATTTACTTTATGCAAGTTTAATTAAAATTCATCAACAGTTTATAAGATATTTATAAGAGACAGGGTTGTCTTCTAGAAATCTCGTTGAAGATTTGGGTAAGGATCTCTTGAAATGAGCAGCGTTCAGAAGACTCTCAGCTCTAGTTACACCAAACTGCAGCACATCTGTACCATTCACTGAATTATTATCATTTTAGTGTTTTTTATTTTATTTTTTACTTGTGTGAATGTTTATGAAGCATTCACATTCCTCTTCTGTACATTTTTCAGCGCATTTCTCGTCCTGCAGTTTTGAAGCTATTTCAACAAATCATAAATCAAAACGTTCAGCTCTTTCAGGACAATCCTGCTGTGACTTTATGGTGCAGCTTTAGCTTTTTGAAATATTTAGCCTTTTCTGACATTTTTTGTCTCATAGAAAATAAATTGGGCTAATTTTACATCTTTCAAATCTTCAGTGCTGTTTATAACCTTTTACTGCTCCTTTCACGTTTTGTTCTGCTTCAGCTTGTTTCAGTTTCCTTGTACAAATTTAAACCTTTTTTTCAACTAATTTTAGCTGTTTTGTGCTCCTTTCAGGTTATTTCTGCTAACTACAACATTTTTGTGCTTCTTCTAACTTCATTCTGCTAATTCCAGCTTGTTATGCTCTTTTCAGCATATTTCTGCAAGTTTCAGCTGTTTTTTTGTTGCTATTTGACCTAGTATTTATCTGTTTTTATGCTAATTTTAGCTTTTTAAGCTAATTTCATATTTTTTGCACTCGTTTAAACTTTTTTCAGTCTAATTCAACAAAAATGTGCCTCTCTTCACTTCTTTCTTGTAATTTAAGCTTCTTTCTGCTTTTTACGTTACTTTTCAGCTATTTTTTCGTTGTTGTTACTAATTTCAACTTTTTCCAGATAATTTCCATTTTTTTGTGCTAATTTTTGCTACTTTCAGCCTAATTGGGCAAACTTGTGCTCTCTCCACTTCTTTCTGCTAGTTTAAGCTTGTTCTAAATTTTTAAGTAACGTTTTAGCTGTTTAAAAAAAAATTCATCTCTTTTCAGACAAATTCATGTTTTTCGTTGTAATTTCTGCAACTTTCAGCCTAATTAAATTCTCTCTGCTAATTTCAACCTATTGTGCTTCTGTCAGCTTATTTCTGCTAGTTTCAGCTTTTTATGCTATTTCAGCTAGCAGTTTTTGTGCTAACTAACTTTTACAGCTAATTTCACATTTTTTAGCTCAGGTCAGCTCCTTCCACTTCCTTCTAAATAATTTCCCAAATTGTGTGTTCATTTCTGCTTATTTAAACCTAATTCATCAAATATGTGTTCTTTCTGCTTTCTTCTGCTAACTTAAGCTTGTTCTTCCATTTCACCTACATTTCAACATGTTTTTAGCTAATCTCAGCTGTTTTTCAGCATGTTCTTCAGCAATATTTGTTTTTCCTTCTTGTTCTCGGTGAAGGCGAACACTTTTTCCTCCTCCCGCTCCTTCCCCTGCTTCTGCTCTTTGTCTTGTGAACCTTTTGGAGCCTCTCTTTGCATTTCTTCTGAATTGTAAATCATGGATCTGGTCAGCTGGTCTCTCAACGCATCTGATCAAATTTTCTCGATGAGAAGACAGGGCGAAGGAGAGCCCTCCCGCCCCGATGGGACACTTGCAGCTGGCTACACGATAGATTCCTGGGGGCAGTGGAAGATCGTGTGGCTGTCCATATTGTTGGTCGAGGATGTTGAAGATGCATACATTATTGAATTTATGATAACAGAATTTCTGTTTTCTTAAAGTTGGTGGTTACCTGGCTGACATATCAACAAATTCGGAAAACGTCGGCAGCTGTTCTGGCCATTGTGAAGCTGCCTGCCGAGGGGATGTGTCGTGCTGTGAACACTCAGACTCAAATGCTGTGTGAGCTGAGCCGTAAGCTGGACGCGATTCTTGATAATCGCAGGCTACTTGCAGATCCTGAATCTCGCTGGCAGGAAGGAATTGATCTTGGAGAAGTTTACAAGCTCGACTCAGCGGAGTTGACCATAAATTTGGCTGTTTGGAGTCGCCATTGAGACGTACCAGTGAGACTGTAAGGCAGACGGTTATTAACGGAGTCGGCCTGACCCAAAACAACTGT